AAAAAAAAAAAAAAAAAAAAAAAAAGAAAATGGAGGCAAGAGAATGATTATCAAGAGCTGCTGCCTATGCTCTTTCGAGTCTCCATCTCTGATTCCAGACCTGGATGTGACAGAGATCACAGTGCCTGTGCCTGGGGCCCAGTGGCACCCCAGAAGCCCTAGGTGGGGGTAGGAGGGAAATGAGGACAGAGACACTGTTAGTGAAAGCTTCTGTGTGCGACATCACAGGGTTGTCAACAGCCCATGGCTGCCAAACCTTTGGGTACAGGAAAGGACAGCAGGGAGGGCCAGATGCATGTTTCACCCTGTGGACCTGCCCAAAGCTAGCCTGGTTTTCTGCGAATTTGGAGGTGTCTATCCAAAGGGAAGCAAGGAGGACCCAGGGCTGGGGCAGATGAGTCTTTCTGCAACCTGTATCAGGTGGAAAGAAGGGCAGGTTGAGCCCTCAGGCCTTGCCCTGTGTAATTACTGCCAGTGTGGACACCTATGCTTTCCTGACAGGGTGCCTCGCTGATTCCTCTGGGTCCTGCTGTAAAAGGAAGCCCAGGGTGGCCTGAGCCACTTTTGCAAATTCACCTATCATAAAACAGGTATAAAAATCAAAGACTCTTCAGGCCTGATGTAGTTTTTATGTTTACTTTTGGTCTGAGGGGCTTGAGCTCTTACCAGAACATTTATTGGAGCCAGGGATGGTAGCATATCCTGTAATCACAGCTACTTGGGAGGCTGAGGCAGGAGAATTGCAAGTTTAAGGCTAGCCCGGGTAGGTTAGGGAGACCTTGTCTCTAAATAAAAAATACTCTTTTTTTTTTTTTTTTTTTTTTTGGTCAAACTCATGGCCTCACACATGTTCTGCCTCTAAATTTTTTTTTTGGTACAGGGAATCAAACTCAGGACCTTGTGCTTGCCAGGCAGGTGCTGTGTCGCTGAGCTGTCTCCCCAGCCCTTCTTTTAAATAAAAAATAAATGGGCCTGGAGATGTTGCTCAGTGGTAGAGCACTTGCCTAGTATGCATGAGGCCCTAGGTTCAATCTTTAGTAATGCCAAAAAGAAAATAAGAAAGGATTAGCAGGAGGAAAGTTTATTACAGTGCATGTGCCCATTGGACCTTCATGGAAAGGGAAGTGAGAGCCCAAAGATCTGGGGCTTAGACCATTTTTTAAAAAATTATTTATTTATTTATTTTTGGTTTTTTTGAGACAGGGTCTTGCTGTGTAGTTCATGCTGGCTTAAAAACCCACTAAGTAGCCTGGGCTGGCCTTAATCTCCTAGCAAGCCTCCTGCCTTAGCCTTCCAAGTGCTGGGATTACCAGCGGGCTTGTACCACTACTCCTTGTGACACCATTTAAACAAAGAAGTAATGAAGAAGCTAGAGGAGATAAGCCGGGCATGGTGGCTCATGCCTATAGTCCCAGCACTCAGGAGGCTGAGGCAGGAGGCTTGCTAGGAGATCAAGGCTAGCCTAGGCTACTTAGTGGATTTGAATGCCAGCCTGAACTACATAGCAAGACCCAGTCTCAAAAAAACAAAAAACCAAACAAAAGAGAAGTGGAGGACACCAAGAAAAGAGGTTTGGACATCTAGGACAACAAACTGGAAAACTGTGGAAAAGAAGGATCATTTGAATAAGGTTTTTTTGCAGACTCAGTCTCAGTGTCTAGCAATGAGGAGTCCCTCCCCTCCCTGGCTGGGAAGAGGGTGGCCTTCACAAAAGGATGGTGCTTACAGCCTCAAGGCAGCAGGGCAGAGCAGGATCTTTTGTTTGTTTGTTTGTTTTTGTTTTTGTTTTTCGGTTTTTCTCCGGTACTGGGAACCAAACTCACTACCTTGCGCTTGCCAGGCAGGCGCTTTGCCACTGAGCTAAATCCCCAGCCCCCAGAGCAGGATCTTTTTGTGCCTCTGCAGTTCACCATTGCCTTGACTCACAGAAGTCCCCATGCAGCCTGTAGTGTCTCTGACCTGCAGCCTGTTCTCCTTGTAATTTCAAACTGTGCCTTTCCCATGGACAGGACCTTGCTTGGGGTGGGCCAGCACCATTTGTTCAGGGTATGTGGATCATGTGCCCAGCTGAGACCAATGCCTAGGCATGAGATATGATCTCAGGAACTGGGAGAGAAGATGCGATTTGAAGGCCTTTTCTGCTTCAAGAGCCTTAAAGAATTTGCCTTTTCTAAATTATGAGAAAAAAATTATGAGCAAAGCTTAGGTCTGTGTCTGTTTTCATTTGGTATTTCCTCCCTGCTTCTTCCCCACATGAGTGGATTTTTTTGTTTCAGGCAAAACGGAGAGACTCACCTGCGGATGGCAGCCAGAAAGCCAGTGAGCCTGATGGCAAGCAGGTAGGGCCCTGAGGACGGGCTGCTGGGAACCTTCCCAGCTACGTGCATGGCCCCTAGTTAGCACTTTTCTACGTAGTTGGTCCTACTCACTCTTGACTCACGTTGTTGATGTTTGTTCAATAATTATATTTTGTTTCCACGTTTAAACATATTTGTGTCATACCTTGGAAGAAACACACTGTGTGGGGAAAATGTAAGATGCTGTTTTAAGCCTGATGTATTAGTCAGGTACAGCTGCCATAACAAAGCCTCACCCAGAGGATGGTTTAAATAATGGACCATTATTTCTCACAGTCCTGGGGGATGGAAGTCTGAGATCAAGGTGGGATGAGGGCTAGTTTGTCCTGTGCCCGCAGACTATCTTCTTGCTGTGTCCTCACATGGTCATCCCTCTTGTGTATCTGTGTCCTAACTTTACCTTTATTTTTTAATTTTTTAATTTTGTTTTTTTTTTGAGGCAGAGTTTCACTGTGTAATCCAAGCTCGCCTTGAACTCATTATGTAGCCCAGACTGGCCTTGAACTCACAGCAGTCCTCCTGGTCTAGCCTCCTGAGTGCTGGAATTACAGGCGTGCATCACATCTAGCCCTAACCTCTCTTTTGGTCTTTTTGAGACACGGTCTCGCTATGCTTTAGGCTGGCTTTGAACTCACTTTGTAGCCCAGGCTGGTCTCGAATTTGCAGCGATCCTCCTGCCTCCTCCCCCTCTGAAGTGCTGGGATTACATGAGCACGCCACCACACCTGGCTTAACTTCTTCTTACAAGGAATACCAGCCTGATTGAATTAGCACCCCCCCACCCAGTGAGTTTATCTTAGCCTAATTATGTCTATTAAAGACTCTGTTGACAGATAAGGTCATATTCTTAGATCCTGGAGGCTAAGATTCCTATGTACAGATTTGGAGACACTATTCAGCCCCCACATCTGTCCTCAAGAGTCTGGCCTGGCTTCCCAGCTGTACATGCCCCTGCCTTAGCAATTTCCCAACTGTGGTGCCTGTCCTTGTCCCTTGAGATTCCATTTTTCCTCCTCAGAGGTGTGGCAGGGGCTTTGCATACCCTCAGCCTGAGACTTCTCCCCAGTAACTTCCATGTGTTGGTTCAAACCAGCCAAGTTGCCTGTTTCGAGAAACAGGTTTTTTTCTTGACACCATTGCCCTGAGCGTTCAAGGGAACATGTTTGTTTGTTTTCCCTCTGAAAGAGCAGTGAGTGCTTTGAAGGCTTTGGAGGGTAAATTTTATGCTGTATATGCTATGTATTTTACCACAGAAACAGCAAATGAAAATGTGCAGGCAGGCAGAGCTGGTGTTGGGTGGAAGCCTGGTGTCCTTCTTGGCTCCTGTCTTGCCCCAGCTTGGTGTGTTTGATGCTCCCATTGATGGGGATCCGCATGCTGGACCCATTGTGGCCTCACATCTATAACCCTTGTGGCCTGGGGTAAAAGGACAAGTGTGGATGTTACTGATTTGGAGGGTAAAGGGGTTTCCCAGTGTCTTTAGAAGGTGTCCTCTGGTGTGAATTTTTGGGATGAGAACTTACTGTGTGCCTTCCCTCTCCTGTTCTGAGGCAGGGTCACTGTGGGCTTTGGGGATCAGCCAAGGCTGTGCTTCCCTCCTGGGTCCTCTTAGGTTGTAGTCCTAAGTGAGCTGATGGGGAGGGCCAAGCATGGAGCATCCCCCTGCATACTCTGGGGAGCTAGGGCTGCAGGGGGTGGCACAGAGTTCTGGGGCATGGGCTTCAGCTGTAAGGGGGACCTGCAATGTCTCCAGGTGGTGGTGGACACATGCTGCAGTATACTGGGGCCCACTTGGAACCACAGTTTCTCAGGTTGCTGTTCGTACCTTATGAGGCCTGAGGTCATCTATCTGTGGGGAGCAGCCTGACTTGGCTTGCACCCTAGCAGTCCTCCCCCTAGAGCTGCTTTGGGAGTGGACTTGGCAGGAGCATCGTTCCCTGGCTTCTGTACCCGTCTATGCTCTTGGGCTGTGGTCTGAAATCAGAGAGCTGACAGGCCACAGGCTCCCCCTTCCGTCACAGGCAGCAGTTGTGCGCTTTTTTTTTTTTTTTTGTCTTTTTGAGACAGGATCTCAGTATGCAGTTCAGGCCGGCGTTGAGCTCACTTTGTAACCCAGGCTGATCTCGAACTCACAGTGATCCTCCTGCCTCAGCCTCTAGTGCTGGGATTACAGGCGTGCGCCACCACGCCCGCCTTTGTGCTCTATTAAGCTGAGACTAGTGGGTAAATTCTGCCGAGTAAATGCTCCAGCTCTTTAAGGGAGACACTTTGTCTCTCATTTAGGAAGAAGTGCCCAGGTCCCCAGGGAGGCTTGAGCTGGAGTCAGGTGAAGGCTGAGATTCCACACGGCAGGCTGAGAGTGCAGAGTGTCCTTGAACATGATCATAACCCAGGATGATAGCCTCTTGGTAGGACATTAGGTCCTGGCTGTCCTGGGTGGATCTGAGCCCCATTGGGTTTGGTTCATTTTTGTGGATTGTGGACCTTGGCTAGGCTTGGGGCCTGAGAGGAGACCAGACACCTGGAGGCGTCCCCATCCACGATGCTACAATCTGGCCTGTTACTGTGGTTGCTGCTGGCAGAAAACATCTGTTTTCTCTCTGATCAGGTATATCTGTGTCCCTCTTGGTGTGGGGTCACAGGCACCTTTGTGGGGCCATGCCTGCAGGAGGGCAGCCTGCTTCCTGTCACAAGAGGGGTCCCTGATGGGGGCCTTCCCCCCATTAGGGGGTACTTTTACATTACCCATACTTAGTATTGTTGTGTTCTGTTGGTTGTGTATGAAATAGAGAAGACAAGAATTGCTCCTTTTTTACTTTCTTTGGTGGGGCCACATTGTGCTTCTTTTTCTAGAACTTGAGCTTTCTAGCAGCCCTTCACTCGGCTGAGATCATAGGTGTGATGTTGATGTCCATAGGGCTCAGCTGAGTGTCCCCAGATGCTTCTGGGCCCAGTTCAGGCATCCGTGAGCCAGCTCCCTGGGGAGATTCTGCTTGGGGTGGGGAAGAGGGCATCCAGTGGTAGCTTCACCGAGAGCCTGTGAAGAAAATGGTTCCCTGGCTTAGCAGTGAGTTGTGGAATAGCCTGGCCCCATCCAGAATCTGCCTGAGAGTATTGGGTGGCAGCCCTAACTCCCAGATGTGCAATTTGAGCTGATTGCTCTTAGGACCCATCTCCAGGGCTCTGTGGTCCAGGTCAGAAGCCTGGGGCCAAGAAATTGTCCAAGGGAAATTAGTCTGTGTTGGACTGTGTTCCTTGTGAGATGTACATTGAGTTTTTACATTCTGGACAGTTATTTTTTAACTCAAACTAGTGAAGCCACCCACAGTGTTGTATCCCCCCACCCACACTGCCTGAGGATACTTTTTACATTTTGAAGTAACACTAGACTTCAGACTGTTTCAGCTGTAAAGGTGTCTGTGTGAAACGCATTCTAACCTGGCTTTGACTTGTGACTTGGCCCTTGCAGTTGACCTTTCCTTGATAAGCTGCTATGGGGAATATGACTTCTTCACCACTTTGTGGCTCATTTCTGTTACTTTTCTCTTGGACAGTGACTTCCACAACACTGGTACTTAGTATTGTATCACTGCTTTTTGTCTGTTATATACGAAATAGAAATGATAGGAATTGTTCCATTTTTCACTTTCTTTGATGGGTAAGGAAGCGTGGGAGGAAGGGCCAGGCGTGTGGCGCCCACCTGTAATCCCAGCACTCAGGAGGCTCAAGCAGGAGGATTGCTGAAAGTTTGAGGCCAGCCTAATCTCCATAGCGAGGCCCTGTGGAAAAATAGATAGATAAATAAAACTTACAAAAAGGAAGCATAAGAAGTGGCATTCATGGCCTTCTACCCATGTCCCCAGGACACCTGGACAGACTGAGAAGGATAGCTAGTACTCAGCCTGACCCATTTCTGCAACTGCTGGGTTGATTTGAGGGTCATCTTCTGCAGAGAAGCCCAGCAGATGTTGTCCAGGTGCCATTCTCTGAAGCAAGGTGTCAGGGACAGTCTGTCATGGTCCGAATGCTCCAGTGCGTAGTTCATGTCCCCTTGAGATGCCAGAAGGCTGTGCTAATGTGATACTGCTCTCTCTTAGGCAGGGCATTTGCTCATGTTGTTTGTATGTTTTTCAACAGAACCATCTTGCTGTGTTCACAGTGGTTCATCCACTGGCCCCCAGTATAAGTTCCAGTGTGGCATCCAGCCTGGCATCCAGTACTGGCTCAGGTAGCTCCTCCCCCACTGCTCTGCCCGCCCTCCCTGCCCGCGGCCCTGTGCCCGACCCAGCTGGCAACACCGTGGAGGCTGTCCTAGGTAGGTTCCACCTTTCTCTTCTCTTCTACTGGCCACCTCTACACCTGCACCTACTCAGGAGTGTTCAGGAGTGGTTGTTTCTGTTGAAAAGCTAGATGTAGGGGCTGGGGATTTAGCTCAGTGGCATAGCGCCTGCCTGGCAAGCGCAAGGTCATGAGTTTGATTCCCGGTACTGGAAAAAAAAAAAAGAAAAGCCAGATGTGTGGTTTTGATGGTCCTCTTGTTCTGTTTGTGTCATGCTGTGGCCCTAAGTATGGTGAGCACAGGAGGACAAGAATTACAGCTGCCTAGGCTACCCTAGAATCAGAGAGGGCAGGGGCTGGGGATTTAGCTCAGCGGCAAAAGTGCCTGCCTGGCAAGCGCAAGGTCATGAGTTCGGTTCCCGGTACCGGAAAAAAACCAAAAAAAAAAAAAAAAACAAAACAAAAAACAGAGTCAGAGAGGGCAGTGCCTTCTGCCCAGAAGCCATTGCAGAATGAGGAAGCTAATTAAAATGAAAATCAAGGGGCTGGGGATATAGCTCAGCGGCACAAATGCCTGCCCGGCAAGCACAAGGTCCTGAATTCGATTTCCAGTACTGCCCCCAAAAGACAGAATTAAAATCTGTTGGGGGTAGGGGCAGGGTGAGGGCTGGAACCTGCAGACACAACTGTCAGCACCCCTGGCTGTTGGCTTCATGGCTCCTTAGCTGTCAGGAGTCATTGAGGGTTTGGTGGGTAGGGGGCAATGACTGATGTGATGGGAGCTAGGCTAGGTGACATGTTAGGGGCCTGGCTGGCAGCCCGGAGCCTGTGCAGAAGCCTTGTGAAGGTCAGGTTGCAGAGTGAGTGTGCAAAAGCCCAGCCTAGGTGGGTACATAGATACCTAGCCCACCTGGGGAGGCCTTTTTCTTTTTCTTCACAGCACTGGGATTGCTAGGCTACACCCCCAGCCCTTTTAAAATTTTGAGACAGCGTCTAAGTTACCTAAACTGGCCTTGGATTTGCAGTCAGCCTTCTTTAGCCTTCTGAGTAGCTAGGGTCGCAGGACCACATGGAAGGCTTTCTTGAGTAATAGGTGAGGACACTTTGAGGTCTTATATTCATGGTGCCAGTATCCAGCTGACTCCAGCATGTTCTCTGTTCTGACAATGAGGGACACAAGAAAGGCTGGCATTGTAAAGACCTCCAGAGTTTTTTGTTGCTGGTCAGCTCTGGCATGGTCCTGGCCTGTTCAGTCCTGGAACATACCCTTTCCTTCCCATATCCAGTCCTGCAGTGGCCAGCCCTGTGAGGGAACCCATGTGACATTTACTGTCCCACAAGACTGCTGTAAACAGAGTCTCACAGGCCTTTCAACAGCCCCACTGGGATGTAGGTTAGATGTGCTGCCCCCAGTCTTCCCACCTGCCACTCAGATACACAAGCTTTATACTTCGGAAGGCCGTAAGAGACATTCTTATTCTCTGTCTAGAATATGAGGAAAGCCATGAGCTGGCAAGTGTACTGCTGAGGCTCCAGCATTCTCACAGTTCTCAGGTTCTTGTGGCTCTGCACACACAGCTGTTGCCTGTTGCCCTGCTGTCTCTTCTTGGAATAATTATGGTCTTTTGCATGCTTGATATAGCTGGGTCTTCTGCCCTGCATTTTAAAAAACAGTTTATTCATTCATTTACTTTGTGGTACTAGGAATTGAACCCAAAACGTCACCCATGCCAGGAAAGCACTTGAGCTCTCAGCTGTATGTCCAGCTTTTGCCCCATATTTATTTGGGTAGATTGTCATCTTTCCCACCTTTCAAGGGTCACTTTTCCAAATCACCAGAGCCTTCAGGGCTTACAGTCTCCCCTGCAGCCCTGGTGTTCCTTTGTGAGCTCCATTGGTTCTGTCTCATCTCCTAGAGAACTCTTTATAATTCAGGGCTCCTCCCAGCCTCACAAGGCCAAGGGGCAACAGATGTCTCTAAGGTGACCACTGCCTTCCTGCTGTGGGGTCTAGGGACAAGTGTGGCCCTTGGCAACCCTGAGGTACCAGATCAGTAGGTGGTAGGACCTGGAATTACTCCAGACAGGCCTGGCCGCAGTTCTAGTTTTGTGTAGTGATTGTATTTTTTTCTGCCCTTGTGGCTGAGCACTGGGCTGTTTGCCCATCACAAAGTTTGCACGAGGGCTAGAAGAAAATAGTAGCTAATATCCTATGCGATTCTTGCCTCTGAGAAAGTTCTTGTCCTTTTTACAGGAGTGGTGTTAATTATTATTAAAGGCCCATATTCCAGGATGTTCTTATCCTGTTCCTCTGGAGAACAGGGTGCTTAGTGTAGGCAGAATCAGAATGACATAAAAGGTGGATGAAGGGCAGGTGTGGTGGCGCACGCCTGTAATCCCGCCACTTGGGAGGCTGAGGCAGAAGGATCAAAGCCAGTTCAAGACCAGCCTGGGCTACAAAGTAGGTTCAAGGCCAGCCTGAACTGCATAGTGAGACCCTGTCTCAAAACAAAAAGAGCATGGAAATGGGGTGGGCACACAAACATCCCCACTTCGAAATGAACTAAAAAGCCACAGGTATGCATGATGTTTTAGGATTTTTTAAATAGGTACAGTTTAAGTTTCCCAGTATAATAGTAGTAATGGTAAAAATCAAGCATAACAAGCAAGTATTTAGGAAAATTAAATCCCTGTCTCCAGATATCTTAGTTACTTTCTTGTTGCTAAGACAGAGCACCCAACACCCACAAGTTAGAGAGGGAAAAAGCTTATTTTAGCTCACAGTTTATAGAGGCTTCAGCCCATAGTCATAGTTGGCTAGCGCCAATGCAAAGTGTGCATGACAGAGGAAAAACAGTTCATAACATGGCGGGCAGGAAGAATCATCTTCCTTCTTTCCTTTTTTATTCCATCCAGGTTACAGGCCTATTGGTTGATGCCACCAGGGTGGACCTTCCCATTAGCCACACCTAGAACTATGCTGACCAGTCAGTAGACTGATCCAGTATCACACACCCATGATCTAGTCACCTCTCTCAAAACCCTCACCTGTGAGCATATGAGGCTTTAGGGGAGCATCTAGGTGTAAGTCATAACACCAGACAAATGAGACTGCTTAAGTCTATTTTCCCTCATGGAGAATAGGGTCAGATGTGCATGCGCTTTAAGAGTAGCAAAGTAAGGCCACGCATGTGATGACTCTGAACTAAAAAGCCACTGCCATGAATGGCATGTTTTAGGATATTTTATTTATTTATTGTCTTTGAGATAGGGTCTCAATGTGCAGTTTAGGCTAGCCTTGAGCTCACTTTGTAGCCCAGGCTGGCCTTGAACTCACAACAATCCTCCTGCCTCAGCCTCCCAAGTGCTAGGATTACAGGCATGCGCCACCATGCCTGGCAAAGGATATTTTAAATAGATACAAATTATTTTTTTCAAATAAAGTTTAAGTTCTCCAGTATAAAATTAGTAATGGTAAAAATCAGGCATAACAAAAAAGTATCCCTGTCCCCAGACAAATGAGACCATAATTAAGTCTGCTCACTTTGTAGAAAACAGAATCAAATGTCAGTGTACTTTATTTATATTTATTTATTATTGATTGTTTTTTTTAATTTTGTTTTTCTTGAGGTAGGGTGTAGTTCATGCTGGCCTTGAACTCATTGTGTAGTTCATGTAGGCCTTGAACTCACTAAATGGCTCAGACTGGCCTTGAACTCCTGGCCATCCTCCTGCCTCAGCCTCCCAAGTGCTGGGATTACAGGCGTGTGCCATCATGCCTGGCCTATTCCTGTTTTTTTTTAGAGAGGGTCTTACTGTGTAGTTGAGGCCAACCTTGATTTCACTGTGTAGCCCAGGCTGGCTTTGAACTCAGTGATCCTCCTGCTTCAGCCCCTTGAGTGCTGGGATTACAGGTGTGTACCACCACACTCAGCATCAAAGTGCTTTAAAAGTGACAAAGTAAGGACAGGCTTGTGGTGGCATACATCTGTGATCCCAGCTACTCACTTGTACTTGCCACTCAACCACAAGCCTAGGTGCTGGAGGGTCTGAGGCAGCAGGACAAGTTGCAGACCAGTCTGGGCAACTCAGTGATTTATGGAGATCCTGTTTCAGGGGCGGGAAACATACACGTAGTAGTTAGTCTGCAGCCGTTATCTCATATTTCAAGTGTGGCCTGAGCCTGTTCTGGTCCCTCCCCAGCTACTGTGTAGTGCATTCTTCATTGGCATAAGTATTTCCTGAACCAGCTACCTAGAGGTAGGGAGGTGCAGGATGGTTTTTCAGGGTTAGCAGTCCCTTAGCTTGCAGACTGTATTTTGGTGGTTGCTGCCCACAACCCCACTGCCAGTCTGACCCAGAGTGTGCCCCCACCCCAAACCTGCCCTGTGTCCCTGATTACTGTGCTCACGTGGGTTGTTTCATTTTTGTTTCTTTTCCTGAACTGTGGATTGAACCCAAAGCCTTTGTACTGAGCTACATCCCTAGCCTTTTATTTTTTTTTATTTTTAAATTTTGAGTAGGGTGTCCTACCTTGCTCAGGGTGGGCTTGAGTTTGCAGTTACCCTGCCTCAGCTTGCCAGACAGAGTGCTGGGATTACAGGCTGTACCACCATGCCTGGCGGTTAATGTTTTATTAGCAGTTTCAGAGGGTGTGGGCTGTTACGTGTTTCCTTGTGTACAGTGATTGAAAGATGATGCCAATTATGGAACAACAGGCTGTTCCACACTTACTTGTTCAGTATCACGGGTCACAGACCTCTCTCAGCCATTTGACTGGGGCTTCCTTTGCTGTCCTCCTCACATGAATGGCCTAGATTGAAACAGTGAGGCTGGCGCGCAGAGCTCAGGTGGAGGGGTGACCCTTCGGCCCGCCGAGCATGCGCGAGTGAGGCCGGTTTGGGCAGGTTTCTGGCGTCTCGGTGTGAGCAACCCTCTCGGGCCTTCAAGACAGGGCTCCGCCCCCAACGCGGGCGGGGCAAGCCTCTGAGGAAACCGGCTGGCGTCCTGCGCTGGCGCCGAGGGGCGGGGCTCCTGGTGGTGACATGGTGTGTGGGCGGGGCTTCGTCCTGTGTACCCGGACCGCGGGCCCACTTTGAATCGACTGCAGCAGCGGCCATGGGAGCGGCAGCAACCTTGACCGTGAGTCAGCATTGAGTCAGCATTGGCCACGGCCCTAGGCCTCCCTTACCCACCTCGACCCCTCGGCAGCCCCCGCGCATCTGGCTGCGGGTCGTCCTAACTCCACACTTTGGAGCGCCGCCCATCTGCATGCTGGCCTGTTAGATCCATCAGCCTGCCCCCAGATGTACCTCCTAAAGTCCACGTTCCTGAGCCAAGTGTAAGCTGAGGTTAGTACCAGGTTTCTCCTGGGCTGCAGAATGAAGTGACTTCATCAGTCCTCGTTAAGGACCTGACTCTTTTGGGGTGCACAGGTGAGGGACACTTCTGCAGGGCCTTGGGCTCTCCTAGTGGCCCTGCCCAACCACATCTCCCCTCCCCTGTGCACTTGTCCTGCTCCTGGCTCCACTGTGAACTGAGCAGGTAAGTGGATGTCCCAGTGTTCCTCCTCCTGTGGCTGGGGAAAGGTCTGCCACCTCCTCTTAACCAAGGGGAGCAGCCTGTTCCTGAGAGGTTCCAGGGAATCCTGTGCAGTTTGTTCTTATGTGTCTCTGACCCCAGGGGACTGCAGTGCCTTGTGAATGTGCTGTGTCACACCTGGAGCCGGCTGGGCCAGCGCTGTTCCTCAGCAGCTTTGTTGATTTCTGTGACATCCAGGCAGCTCCTGGTAGTGTGGCCAGATTGGTTTTGGGTCCGGAAATTGGTACAGTGTCACACAGTTTACCTAAGGAGGTTCACATAGATTCCCAGTTTCTTGTTAGCAATGGCTTTTTACTCCAAGCATGTTTCAGAAGATCTGGATTTGATCTTGGAAACAGTGGTAGGAGGTGGGAGGAGAGGAGACTGTGGATGAGAAGAGGGGACCAGGGCCAGGTCAGAGCTGGTATAGGGAGGGGTCCACATGAGGTCCCCAGTTTACCTTCTTAGCTTTCCCAGGCTCGAGGCTCTGAGGGCAGGCTGGGATTGGTATGACTCATTCTGAGTTAGGCTACAGCTGAGCTGGTTGCACTATGGCTGGACCAGGGCTGGCTGGTCTGTTGCAAGCTAAATGTGCCAGGGGGTGTGAGGGCTCTGTGCCTGGGAGCAACTCTGCTAAGTCAAAACCTGGGCAGATTAAACCATTTACCAGAGGAAAACTTAGCCTTGTTCATTCCTTTGTGCTTCAGTTCTTCAGAAGGCATTTCTGGGGCACTGCCAGGAGTAGGGCACTGTGAGCAGTGGATTCAGAGGGCTAAGTCCAGGGTACAAGTCTGTCTGATTAGCCTGGCCAGGATGGGAATCCACAAATGCTCCAGGCTAGGCCTGAGTGAGGTACATGAGGTGGATCCAGGGCTTGGCCTCAGTCTTCCCACCGTACAGGTACACCTACCTGTACCCTGTGTGCTGAGTGGGTCAAGGATTAGGGAACGCTCTTGGGGAGTGGGAGCTGTATGAGATGCTTCCCTCATCAGTGCTGGGTGGAAGGTGTGTGGAGCAGGGTAGCCTGACCTGCCCAGCATCATTACCCTGTTCTTTCTAGAAAGTGGAGACTCAGGATGCAACTGGGTTTTCATGACAGAAAAGTCACTCCTGCGAGCTGTGGGCTGTGGGGTAACTGTGCAGCTGGCCAAAGGATGGCCATATGTATCAAAGGCTGGCTTGGGCCTTAGCTTTGTGGGTCAGTGGAAGAGTTGCTTAGGTCTTATGTAGCTCTGCACTATAGCCTCTCCCTAATAGGAGGGAGGGAGGTGTTTCCTGCTGGGGGACTTCAGAGCATCCTTTAGGGCCACAGAAGCCACTGTATCAGGGGTGAGCTGGGTCTCAGGAGAAGCTACGAGGCTCAGCGGAGGTCAGGGTGGGCATACAGAGGGAGAGTTAGAGGGAAAGGCTGGGTGAAAATGTAGAGAATGAGTCCAAGCTGGGCATGGTGTCAGGCCTGTAACCCCAGCACTGAGAAGGCTGACGCACAAGAATCGTGAGTTTGAGACGGGCCTGAATTATATAGTGAGACCGTGTTTAAAAAAAAAAAACAACGAAATGGCAGCAACAAAAAGATGATAGCAGATAAGAAGCTGCAGCTACAGGGATGAGAGTGAGAGGTTGGGCAGAAATGTGGGAAGTGCTTAGGAGAGGATGGGGGGGGGCAGCTGAGGAAAGGCATTAAGGGCATTGGGGTGTAGGGGACCAGTCCTGGCATAGGCTCACACAGGACAGAAGGGCATATTGTGGGTGGAGATAGGCCTGAGAGACCTGGGCCTAGGGTCAGTGGGAAAAGATGTAGAGCAGTATCTCCAGGTGGACCACATGTTGAGGGTTGAATTGCATTCCACCAAAAGATACATCTGAATCGCAGTCCTTACGAACAAGGTTTTATTTGGAAATAGAGTCTTTGTGAATGCCATTAAGTTATAATAAGGTCAGTAGAGCAAGCTTGGAGCAGTGATCAGTACCTTTATTTAAAAAAGAAAGAATTGTAGCTGGGCATAGTGGTGCACACCTATAACCCCAGCACTCTGGGAGGCTGAGGCAAGATGATTGCAAATTTAAGCCCAGCCTGGGCACTTTAGCAGCATGGTGAGATGTGTCTTAAAAAGTTCTGGGGATACAGTTCAGTGTGAAGGCCCTGGGTTCATTCCCTAGTATTGTACCCTTCCCCAGCACATATGGTAAACACAGACGTAGGACAGACCTGTGATAATGGAGGCAGAGACTAGAGTGACTTGACCAATTCCAGGAGCTCCAAGACTCTCCCTTGGAGATTCTGGAGGGACCACTGCCTTGCATACACCTTAATGTTGAACTTGGGGCCTTCAGCATGCAGGAGGATAAGTTTTTGGGGTCTGAAGCCACCCAGCATGTGATCCTCTTAGCTGCAGGCTTGGGACACAGTAGCTTAGTAATGAGGAGGCGGCTGAAGAGCAGGAGGCACTTGATGCAGGAAGGACCCAGGAGCACAGCAGAGAGGACTGCCCGCCATGGGAAGACATCCAGGGGCATGGGCTGTCAGCAGAATCCTGGCCACCTGGAGCTGCCCTCAATCAGGCCCACTTGGCAGCCACATCCTCTACATTTGGTGCCGAATAGCTGGATCTCCCCAAGGGACATGGTTCTGTCTCCTTTTTTTTGCCCTACCTATTTCTGACATCAGCTGTCATGTTGTTTACTGTCCTTTGCTGTGGCAAAAGGACATCAGATGGATTATAGGAGTGGGTCTTTGAGAGCAGCTGTACTTGGGATACCACCATCCTCCCTGCTTGATAACTCCCTGTTGTTTTCCCCACCCTATATTGAGTGAGTAGAGAGGGCCCAGGGAACAGCACAAGCCTGCAGCCAGGGCTACCATGTGTTTCTTACTCACCAGCCATCCACAGAACTTTGGTGCTTATGGTGGCCAGTGTCCAACACAGCAATCCTGGATCTAGCTCTTGAAATAGCAAAATGGAAGCTGGGATTGGTGGGACCATGGGTTGGGCAGCCACCTTGCCTTTCCCATGGGTACACAGGGTTTGCTTGTCTTTATGCCCACTGACCTGGGATTTCCAAAGGGGCAAGAGGCCTCTGCAGCAGGCATAGCTCTGTTTCTAAGCCACATGGTAGTATAGAGGGGAAAGGTAGCTCTGTCCCAGGCCTTGAACTCATCATCCTCCCACCCCAGCTTCCTGAGGAGCTAGGATTACAGGCATGAGCCTTTACATCTGCCTCCACCTGGATGTACTGAGTCCAGCCTTTCTGATGGTCCCAGGCCTGACTGATCCATTCCAGTGTCCACTGCTGAATCCTCACCTTTACACTGTCACTTGGTGTGACCCTGTACCATGAATAGGCATCATCATGATGTGCTACTGGCTCTTCATGAGTGGACATGCTTCTTTGGGAGCTGTAGCCACATCAGGGTTTGTCTTGCTGTACATTGGGCCAGGGTGAGACTCAGCCTAGGGATGGGTGGTTATGGCTGCCTGCTTCTCTCCAAATAAGCTTACTTCGTCAGCTTTGGGGCATGTGCTATCACTGTCACACTGCCCCAGGGGTATTAGGCAGCAGGAAAGGCAGATAGGAGCCATGTGTGACTCACACAGACAGATGACAAGGATCTCGGGTTTATCACTGTGCTGTGGACCACATCTTTCCTAGGTAGGGTGAGAGGAAGTGGAGCTGGGGGATAGGCGGCAGGGCCTGTGGCTTCTTGGGGTGAGATTCAACATAGGTGGGGATGGAGGGGACCCAGCCAACAGGAGACCACATAGCAGAGATCACATGGGACACATAGTGAGGAGCCAGGACCCTAGGGTGGATCAGGGAAGGTGCTGCCCACAGACTTGGTCAGGATTGCTGGGAAGGTGACTAGTCCTATCCATGGCCCTTCCTGTGTGGTGTTGTGGGTTGTTATACCTGAGGCCCTCCTCCTCTGGTTGTGCCGTCCCTGAGCTGGTGTGCATACCCTGCTGTGGCCATGGGAGTTTGGGAAGGGCTCCAACAGCTGGCTGCTCTCAGCTCCTTGGGAGCTTCTGAGTCCCAGGACAAGACATCATAATCCCTGTTTGCTGCTGTGAGGGCATAGCCTGTGCTCTGGCACAGGGCAGGCAACTTTGGGCGGTCAGGGCCCTCAAAGGGGATGTCAAGTGGGGACAACTCCTCCAATCAGGAACCCTGCAAAAGGGCAACCACTTCTTCTGAGGGCAGGGTCAGTGACAGCTTTGGGAAGTGGGCACATCCTGGAGGGGCCCTGGCATTATTCAGTGCCTCTTTGCATTTAACAGATGGATCCTACAAGCACCAGGGCTCCCCCACCGGGATGGTAGCATTCTTGTTGAGGGGCTCCTGAAAGAAGACAGGATTTGTCTCTACCCTTTGGTGGAGTTGGCTCCATGTTTGTTATGCAGGGAGGTCCTGGGTCCTGTCCAGCCAGCAGTGTCAGACTTTGGAACCACTTGCTAATTGAAATCCCTTGGCTGGGAAATTTTTAATAGCTGGATGTGTTTACTTGATGAAGTTGTTTTATTGTGGTGCAGCACTAGGGATTGAACTGAGGCTTTGTGCGTGTGAGGCAAGCACTGTACCTTTGGTCTACACGTACCCCAGCTCATGTATTAACAAATAACTGGAAGCTAAAGAAGCTGCACACCTCTGTGGAATGGGCTTGTATTGCTGGGGCTGCAAGAGGGCTGCAGGGTGAAAATGCCTTTGCTTTGTAGGACAAAGCAGCCTGGCTAGCTGCTTAGGCACTTCAGGACCCAACCAGGGGTTGGGAGCTGGGATTGGTGGGACCATGGGTTGGGCAGCCATCTTGCCTTTCCCATGGGTACACAGGGTTTGCTGTACTGTCTTTATGCCCACTGACCTGGGATTTCCAAAGGGGCAAGAGGCCTCTGCAGCAGGCATAGTACCTTTGGCACTGTACCTTTGGTCTTCAGGACCCAACACAGGGGTGCTTATTCCCAGCCCCGGGCAGCTGGATGTCCTTGGGCTCCAGGTCTCACTTCCAGCTGGGGTGGGTGTTAGGGCTCAGAGTTCCCTTAGCAGAGGCCTTGTGGGTAAGCTGAGGTTTGGTCTCGTAGGTTCTGCCTTGGACCTTCATCTCAGTGACATAAACATTGCATCCCTGGATAAAGACCTGGAAGAGCACGATGCCCATGACCTTGGGCTGACAGGTGAGTGCTGAGCCAGCTGCTCCTTGAGCATCATGTGCTGAACTGGCCCTTGTGGGTGGGAGGCCCATATTGTACCCCACTCTCTACATCTTCCCACCTCTGCCATCTGTGTGGGTCAGCTTCCTGATGCTTCCTCAGTTTACCTCCATCTTTGTCAAGCAGCCCCTGTAGGGGCAGGTAGGCCCCTTCCTCAGAAAACAGGAAAAACTACATCTTAACCACTGCAGCATGTAAAGCTGAAGTTGTTAGTGGTATATTAAAAAATCACGTTTTTTATTTTGGAAGTTCATTGTTCCCTTTTAAAAGAAACCATCTTAGGGGCCTTGCAAGTCCTGGGCACACTGTGCTGGTGTCTGGCCTGGACTGGGACCCTTGCTGAGATGCCCTCTTGCTCAAGCCCCTTTGGCTTATCTGGTCCCCTGTCCTCAGCATCCACTTGCTTCAGCTGCAGACTCCATGTGCTTATGGGAAGGTGTCCCTGTGGCTACCTTACTCACTCAGCTCCTCCTCCGTCCAGGCCCCCGGTCGCTGGCAGGCTCGGCCCCTGTCGCCATCCCGGGCTCCCTGCCCCGCTCGCCATCCCTGCACTCGTCCTCCTCCCTGTCCACGTCCCCGCTCAGCTCGCTGTCCCAGTCCTTGTCGGGGCCACTCACCGCCTCAGCCATGACGCCCCCCCAGCAGCCGCCACCCCTCAGGTCAGAGCCTGCCGCCCTAGGCTCCGCAGCCTCATCCTACAGCTCTTTAGGTGAGTCAGCTTGGCCTTACACAGGCATTCACATCCTTGGCCCTGGCTGAGGGGGCCCTGCCACCAGACCCACACTGTACAGCTGAGTCAACAGGTCCAGAGCACTGGCCCACTAGGGTGGTGTGTTGCTGGTGGCCACCACAGCATGGGAGCCCCCACCAGTGGCATTGGTTCCTTCTTTGCCAGGGGCCAAGGAAGGGCTTACCCAAAACCTCCTTGGGATCCATCTGCAGTGTTGCCCTGCCACCAAAGCCCGGGTGGCTTCATGGTGCTGTGCTGAGGTACAGGCTGTGGGTCCTAAGCTCCCATACAGAAGTGTATGTGACAATAGTGACTGGAAACAGCACTAATACCTCCTGTTTTTGTTCATTTTTTTTTAAATATGATCCCTCATATTTTTAGAGAACGCTTGTTTTACATACCTCAGTGTGGTCTCTAATGCTGCATGCATGGCAGTTGCTGTAAACCAGGAAAGCAAAAGCTCAGGCCCTCCAGGATCTGTACTTATAGCACCTGAGAAGCCCTGTTCTCCATGCACAGCCATGGGGAGTTTCAGTTTAATTTCTTTCTTTGCTTAAACTCTCCAAGTAGTTGGGAGAGGTCAGTTGGAATGATCTGGGTGCCACTGCTGTGAGCCTGTGCTGGAACCTTGTGGCCTCACCTGTGCGGGAGCCAGCCAAGGTTTGAGGCTCCTGTGATCATGGGCAAGGGAATCATAGATGTACTGGGAGGGGCAGGGTGTGGACACAGCATGGCCTCTGTTATCCCTGTCTTATCCACTCCCCACACTCAGGTTTGAATGGCGTTCCTGGGAGCATCTGGGACTTTGTTTCCGGCAGCTTCTCTCCCAGCCCCTCCCCCATCCTGAACACTGGCCCTCCGGCCTCAAGTCCAAATGGTGCCGAGTTGGCCCGGGTCAGGCGGCAGCTGGATGAAGCCAAGAGGAAGATCAGGCAGTGGGAAGAGTCTTGGCAGCAGGTGAAGCAGGTGAGCGTGTGGGGAGGGCTCTGGGTATATGGGGGGATCAGTAGGACAGGTGGGTATGCGGGGAGGCTGGCTCTGGCTGCTTGTGCATTATCTGTTGGGTTTCAGGCCTGTGATGCATGGCAGCGAGAGGCTCAGGAGGCCAAGGAGCGGGCCCGTGTGGCAGACAGTGACCGGCAGCTGGCCCTGCAGAGAAAGGAGGAGGTTGAGGCTCAAGTGAAGCAGCTGCAAGAGGAGCTCGAGGGCCTGGGCTTGTTATCCTCACTGCCTGGGCTACGGAGCTGTGGTGACATTGGTTCCATCCCTCTCCCCAAGCTGCACTCCTTACAAAGCCAGCTGCGCCTCGACCTTGAGGCTGTTGATGGGGTAAGTTCTGGTGGTTTGGGGTCTGTCGCCTTATGGGAGCAGCAGGGTCAGGACTGCTTTGCATGGCTTCCCCTTCCCTGTACCAGCCCATAGTTTGGCCACAGACTGCCTACTAGGGATCTCTCATCCTGCTGTTCTAGAGAGCATGAGGTTGTGCCCTCCATGTAGAAGGGCCCTGCCCTTCCCGAGTCTGGGGCACTTCTTGGAGGTGGCCTCTGAAGTCAGTGTTGCCTCCCAGCATTGACTTTGGTGTAGCACAAAAACCACCAGGGCTGGTGGCTAAACACTCCTTCCATTCTAAGCCCTGGAAGGTCCTGTGACCAGGCCGGCTGCCACATGCACCTACTGGCTTCGTCTCCAAGGTACAGTCTCCTGGAGGATCCTACTTGCTTCATGTCCTGGGTATCCAGCTCCCATGGTCGTTGCCCTGTCCTGGGGCTGGCCTCTCCCCTATGGCTGAGGCGATTCTGGCCCTATGAGCTAGCTCTCTGCCCTTGAAGCCTCAAGGGCAAGTGTTACCCCACACCCAGCCACTCTTCCTCATGTGGTGGCCCAGCATGCACCTCAGCTTTGATGCTGTAGGAGTCTCCCTGACTCTGCCACTGTAGCCAGTGGCCCATTATCCTAGATGCTGTTCTCTGCCTCCTAGGAAGGCCTAGGTGCCTGCTGGTTCCACCAATAGCATTTTCTCCACAGGTGATCTTCCAGCTCCGTGCCAAGCAATGTGTGGCCTGCCAGGAGCGGGCCTGTGGCACTGCCATGCAGCCCTGCCAGCACCGTGTCCTGTGTGAGCCGTGTGCAGCTAGTGCACCTGAGTGCTCCTACTGCAAGGGCCAACCGCTTCCATGGTGACTAGAGCCAGCCCTCGCCTTCCACAGCAGTGTCATCATTCCTGGTGCCACCATGTCAGGACGTGAGTTTGCGCCTTGTCCACCTGACAGCCTTTGTATTTTTCTTACCTACTGTGGCCCACCAGTGGTTTCAAAGTATTCTCAAAAACCTTAATAGCACCCAGAATCCACCGCCCATCACCAAGGGGCTCTGTGCCTCCAAAGGCTGGACAGGTGGAGTGTGGTTGGGGCCAAGGATCTGATGCTGCGGTGGCCAGGCCACTGGGGGCGGGGTCTCATCAAAGCACTTTGTCAACCAAGGAATTTAGTTAGATGTTATGAATTGTATAAGCTGCTTTCTAGATGTGTTTTTTAATATGCGATAACATGAAGCTTTATATGTGTGCTGTGAACTTGAAATTTCCTATTCGTTTACTGTTAATTCGTAGTCTGGCAGATAGATTTCATATTCTGAAACTACTTAAGAAATGAGTGTTTATCTAGTGAAGAAGCCTAGATAAGACTAGATAAATAGCATTTTTACATTTTCAAATCGAGTGCAAACAAATAGTATTTATAAGCAGAGTGATTATTAAAAGACACATATACATTTAGATGTTTTGAATTTTATGAGGAACTAATTTTCCTAAACATGTGAATGTGCACATGTTGTTGGAGTTTTATATTCCAGTATTGTGAGATGATACCGAGAGCTCTGCCCTGTACTTAGTGATCCGTGGCCACTTTTTCTAAGTGCCTGTGCCTTGCAAAAGTGAAGGAGACGGTCCGCTTGGTTTTGTTTTTTCACTTGAAACTCTACAAGAGAATTTGACGCTAATGAAAAAGGCAACCGAAGGGACCAGGTACTAATAGATTTTGAAGTTCACTTTGGAAGAAGCCAAGTTATGACAACTTAGATCTGTAATGGGCAATGGTGCTTTGTAACCTCTGAGATGTCTGGGGCATCCTGGCTCTGCTGAGTGTGTGGGCTGTGAATTAGGAGCCTTCCCTTTCCTGCATCTGTCACTGCCTGCAACTTCTGCCTCAAGAGATGCTATAGAGGCCGTGTGGAGCCCTGGGTTACAGCGCTAGCCACACCTTCACCTGACCCGTGCATCCCTAATCAGAGTTTATCCGTGTGACCAGTGAGGTGCCTCCAGGGCCTGGGCCCTGGCTGTGCGGCATCTCCTCTGCCCATCAACTCCTGGGTGACTGCAGGTCTCTTGATGGCAGGCCTCAGGCTTGTGACAGGAATGTTGCTGAGAATGTATTCAACATGATGATGGAAGTGCTCTCGGGTTAGGACTGGAACTGTGCCTGGAAATCTGAGAAGAGCGAGCTGTGTGTTGTCCACAGAGACCTTGCCCTCAGCCAGCCGAGCTGGGCAGCAGTTCTCTTTAGGCAGCTGGAGAGGGTGGGCTTTGCCCCTGGCTGGAAGGGTCACCTGTTTCTCCTCCCTTGTGGCTTTGCCAAAGACTTTTAATAGCATTTTTTAAAGTGCAAAGTGACTAGGTAAACATTTTTATCAGTGACCAAATTAGAATGTATTTAATATAGGAGATTTAAAAGCATTTTTAAATATAAGACAAACTGATAGAAAAGTTCTATCATTTTAAAGGCAGTGGATCCATGACATTCCGCAGCTATTATGCTACTAATGGTAACTGTTGACTTGGTTTTAGTGAATCTCGTTTTTAATTATAGTGATTTATTAGCTCAGTATCTAGAAATTACGTATATTTTGTGCTACTGTTATCACTGTTTAAGATTGTTTATTTTTATTAATATTTATGCACTTGTTTCCCACTTTAGGCCTTTGGTCTGTGGGATAACAGGACAATGTTTATTGGTATATAGCTTAGACATTTTCAAATTATAAACAAATAAGAACCATTAAGCTTTAGATCTGTCTATAAGCTACTCTGGTCAGTTTTCACTATGGAATACGGCCAGTGCTCTGGAGCTTCTCTCCAGGGCTAATGTTCTAGGGTGAGAGCAATGGCTGGGAGCTGGCAACTGGATCCCACAGTGGGGTGCCTGGCCCTGAGCACCCACTCTCCTGGGATTAGGACAGGCTGAAGACAGGTATACAGGGGAGACCAAAGAACTACCCAGGAGTGAGCCAACAATGTGGGAAGACCACGGGGAGCTGTTCACTGTGGGTTCTTCCCACGCTGCCTGTGGTCTCAGAGGTTGATACTACATGACCAGGAGCCCAGCTGGGGATGGACAGGCTCCCAGTCCAGATGGAGGTGTGGTCTTGGTGTGGGAGCTGAAGCTGTGGGGTAAGCAGCAATGCGGTTCTTTGCCTGTTGTCTTTTGACTCTAGTGTGAAATATTAGTAAATGATAGTGTTGCAGCGTTCATGCACCCAGTTTGGACACTTCATGTGGATTAATTTATGGAAGCCCTGTGTTTTTATTTTGAGCATTTAGATCAGAATGTTATGTGAATGGAATTTTCTTAACCCAGAAGGTCATATTTATAATGCATAATCATTTACTTGTAGTGAATTGTTTAAACATGTTAACACTTGTTTAAATTTTTTTACACTATAGCATTTATGCAATGGTTTACAGAATTCATGGAATTATTTTTATCAGTATGGGAATTAATTAAAACTTTGAATCTTTGTCTGTGTCTTTTGAGTACAACAAAGTTAGGCCAGAGCATCCCTCCACGTCCCCACCTGGCTCAGCAGATCCAGCAGGAGTAGTGTTCTCAGCCCAAGTCTGGACAGACGTTCTTTATCCCTTGTGTCCACTCCCTGTCATAAGGTGTTGTCACGAAGTCCTGGATCCCCTTGCAGCTGCTCTGAGGTCACATCTGTGGGGGACTGCTGGGCTAAGTGCTCAGCATGGGAGGTGTCTGCTAAGACACCAGGCAGCAGGTCAGGTCCTGATCTCCGGGGTGGCAGGTCCCACCCCAGCATGGCCAACCCACCTGTGGGCCTCTCATGGGGGATGCCATGCAGGCTCAGCAGACTGGTGAGCCGCTCTATCTCCTCTGACAGCGCTGAACGTGCCTAGAGCAAAAGTGCTAAATGATAGGTCAGGCCACTGGAGGGATTGGAGAGCTCATGACCAGGGACTCCCCCCTACAGGCACCTTGTTGCAGTTCTCCAGAGTCTCAGTCTCCAGACCCCTAGTTGCTCCTTCCTGCTGTGTGGGTTCATTTTCTCTTGGGGCCTTTAAATAGCCAGCGTCTTCAAAAAGCTCCCTCAGCAGCTTCTCATAGCCCTAAGGGTGGAGGAAGCCAAGAGAACACCAGGTGGTGATGGAGAGGGCGTAGGGCGTAAGCTAGGTTGGGTGTACAGCCCTCCCAGCACTCACCTGGGCAGTGATAAGCTCATCAGCTAGGTCCTGCTCCACCTGGTCCCACCTCTGTTGCAGGGCCTCCGGCAGGGTTGGATATACTAAGAATCCACAGGGAGCCAGACTCAGCAGAGCCCTTGGCCCCAACAGAGTCCCCAACCCCCATTCCTACCTAATAAAGAGTGGGGATGGCAGACAAGAGGGGTCTCGAACGTTAGTGCATAGACACAGGTACTTGGCTCAGACACGTGGGCCAGTCGGTTGTTCTTCCCACAGGTAAGCTCCACCTGGGGAAGACCAGCATGGTAGGTGGGTGGGTAAGGCCTAGGCCTGCCCCTGTTCCCTGCTCCCTGCCCCCTGCAGCCTCAGCCCCAGCCCTCACCTTGCTCTGCCGACTTCGGGCTCGGCAGGAGTCGCCATCCCTCATCCACATGCCCCTGAAGGTGTTGTTGGTGATCTCCCATTCATGCCAGATGCTGGGGAGGCACCAACATGTAAAGTTGGACTGGGGGATGGGCCACCCTGCCACCCATGGGCCTGCCCACACTTACCCAAGGACCCCGCTGTAGGCGTTCCAACGAAAGGTCTGCTCGTGCTGGGTCACATTGTGGAATGGGCAGAACTCATACTTGTACCTGGAGGCACAGGACTGTCAGGTGGGCCCCAGACCGTACCTGCCACCCACCCTGCTCATACTCACGTGGACTCCACCAGGCTGAAGCACTTGCCAGAGAGTCTGAAGAGATGTGCTGGCCCTGGAAGAAGACAGGAAAGTGCTGAGGTTAGTCTCCTGCACGCTAGGGGGCTAGACCAGGCAGAAACCCCATGCCCCATAAAGCTAGGGGCTGGTTACAGAGAAGTCAAGGTGGGAGGGAAAGCCTGACCAGGCAGTGCCTAACTGATTTCCTCAGGACTCTAGGAACCACCAAACACTAGCTGAACTAACCTTCAGGGAACTCTGGGACACAGGGCGAGGTTTCCAGTCAATAAAAAAGCTACAGTGGTACCTTGGTTCACGAATGTTTTGCTTGCAAACAATTTGTTTTGCAAGCAGAAGCATTTGGCAGAATTTTGTTTTTGTTTGGGAACACTGCATCAGGTGACAACCATGACCATCTTTCCTACACAAACACAAATGTGGCCATCTTTTCCAAAATCATAGAACAAATTAAGTTGGTGAACTGAAGTACCACTGTACCTTTAAGCTGGATGTCCTGTGTTCTGTACCCATCCCTCCAAAGGCACACAGGCCCTCAGTTGCCACAGCCTGTCTGGGGCTACCTCAAGCACAAGGTTATGCCTGACTTAGCTCTTGGCAGGGGCACACCACAGATGATGAAGCCCAATGCCAGCATGTGCGGGAATGGGCTCAAAAGGGCTCCTGCTAACCTTGGAGCTTGAAGCCAGCACACAAAGACTAGCAGAGTTGTTTTTGCAAAAGACTAATTTTCAACAAAACTACAAGGACACAAAGAAACAGAACAAGTTTGTTCGAAGGAGAGAAGAAAAAAAATGGCAACGCAGTATAAAATTCTATACCCAGGAAAATGTTCTTCAGCAATGAGGGGGCTATGTAGCTTAGTGGACAACAGCAAGTGTATATGTTTTGGTACTCCGATGCTTGTGTACGTGTAATTGTTCTAGTCGTGGTAAACTGATTCTTACAAACCTACAGTGTCCCTTTTTGACTATTGTAAGTGGTTTCTGACTTAAGTCTACTTTGATATTTGTACAGCTACCCCACTTGTTTTGCATGTCTTGTCCATTCCTTCACTTTCAACTTGTTTATCTTTGGAGCTCAAGTGAGTCTCTTAAGAGCAGCTATAAGACATCACAGCTCCAAAATAAATGGTCCTAGGCTCAATCCCCAGTAAGTCCCTCCCTGAAAAGGCAGGGACATTCCTAGGTAATAAAACCTGAGAAACTGGATTATCTTAGTTTAGGTAGAACTGCCTTAGCAGAAATGCCAGATGGAGCCTGGATAGGAAAAGACCAACAGAACCAAGCTCTCCATTGTAGACAAACACTTGGGCAAATGAGAAAACCCATACTGTCGCATCTCTGGTTTGTAAATCTGTGATTAAACTAATGCACAATCCGGGTGTGGTGGTGCACGCCTGTAATCCCAGCACTCGGGAGGCTGAGGCAGGAGGATTTTTGCGAGTTTGAGACCAGCCTGGGCTACAAAGTGAGCTCAAGGCCAGCCTGAAGTACATAGTGAGACCCTGTCTCAAACAGAAAGACCAATAAATAAATAAATAAATAAACTAATGCACAAAAACTAATTATAAATCTGTCACATAATGTAAAGGTATGATTTGTGACAAATTACAGATGAAGCTACATGAGTAGTTTTTGTATGCAATTGAAGTTGGTGTGAATGTAGTTTTATAGTTTTTAAACGTTATATGTAATCCCCATGGTAGCAGCAGAGAAAATGATGATAAAACATGTATGAAAGGTACTTAAAATGCCACACTACAAGTTAGGCACAGGGGTGAGTGCCTGTAGTTATAGGTATGCTGCAGGAGGCTGAGGCACAGATCACCTGAACCCAGGCATTAGTGGCCAAGCTGGGCAACACAGTGAACCAGACTCTGTCTGCAAAAAGGGGTGGAGAAAGCCACTACAAAAACCAACAGTGAGGGTCAGGGATATAGCTCAGCGGCACAAGCGCTTGCCTGGCAAGCCCAAGGTCCTGAGTTCGATTCCCAGTACCGAAAAAAGACATATAAAAACCAACAGTGGTGCATGCCTGTAATCATCAGTACTTAGGAGGCTGAGGCAGAAGGAACACTCCAAGTTCAAGGCCAGCCTGAATTACATGGTGAATTAAAATCCAGCCTGAACTATCTACAGAGACCCTGTCTCAGAACAAAACACCACTGTAAGACCTCGTATTACTTGCTTTCTCCTAAGTTCTTAAATGGATTAAACTCTGCATTCAAAAGGCAGGCTGGCAAAGCAGTATAAAAAATGAAAGACTCAACTAGATGCTGACCCTAAGAGAATCACTTCACTCCAAAAAGGCCAAAAAGACAGGCCATGCAAACAGTCACAACAGAGCAGAAATGTTTGAAGTGACACCAGACAAAATAGACTGTAATAAATTGCTCAAGAAAGAACATAATGCTAAAAAAAAAATGTGGTCTTTTTATACAATGAAGTACTACTCAGCCATAAAGAAGGATAAACCAGAAACTTATAGGTATATGGATGCAACCTGAGACCATACTCATAAGCCAGATGCAAATGTGTAAATGTGTATTGTCTCCCTAGTGTGAGAAGCTGAAAGAGTAAATAAGATCCAAATTTACAAGAGATATCATAAAATGGGAAGAGACTTCAAAAGCAAAGAGAAGCTGGGATGGGGAAATGGAGAAAAGGAAAGGGAAAGCAAAAA